ATAAACTTTAATGGCTACTGAAGGAAACGGTTTTCCTTTAACATCCATTGCAGTTTTCTGAGCGAATGTTTCAGCGGTTATGTGCTTCGAATTATATTTCTTGGAATCGGTAAAAAAAGTGTGCTTTTATAGCTTCATTGATCTCACGACGGCAACGTAAATTTTGCTTTAGATTAAAAAATAGCTCAAAATCACGCATAGCAAGATCAGGAAAATAGGTCTATCATTTTGATGCGTTTTTGTTGAAAAATTTCGACTGTTATTCTTGCTAAATGAGAAAATGTACTACCTAATACTATTTACTTCTTGAAGAGTTTTTGAAAGATACTTACTTATCTTATCTCCAGTTAGCCACAACTGTCCTTCTGTCTCGCTAACTTTACAGCTTTGAACACTCCTGTACTTCTGAAGAAAACCGGATACATTATTTTTTCATTTCTTCTTATTCTTTTTACCATTGTTGATTGGGGGTCATCTTCAAAGACCCATTTTTTACTGTCTTGATGTGTTGGAGCGTCGAGAAGCAATATGTACTTTTCAGCGCGAGATGTGATTTTAGAGATAATTCGGTGTTCACCAGTATTAAGTATTCTGACAGGCTTCAGTTTATTGATGCTCTGTTAATTTATTGGGGAATCTAACGACATACTCATTTTTTCATATGCAGTTCTCTATGAATAATTTTACGTATAGTTAGTTGCTGATCCAAAATTAAGGTCCTTCGGTATCATTTGAAGGTACGGTGATTATCACTGTAAAATGGCCGATATATTTTCTGGCCAAACTCAAGAATTTAAAGCGAGCAGTGGCAACATTGTACGGAATGAAGCATTTTTATCTCCAAACTGTAGTATATTGGAAATTCTAAATATACGCTATTTTGAAATATTTTATGATTTTTTCCATTAAATTTCTGACAAAGAAGTTCCTACATGTTCTTCATCTAGGAAAGAATTTGAACATCAGCGAGATGGAGATACATTTTCATGTGCTAATTATAGACGCTGAAATAATTCTTGATTTATCCTCTTATTAAAATCACAGATAAATCATAGTCTGATAATGCTCTCGCGTCAGCTCCATTTTCCTTTCTTTAAAAATTTATTCTACGATAGATCAATTGCCACAAACTGTCATCTCTGGACAAGAGTTCAAATTTATATATCTAACAAATAATATTGTTTTAGAGCATATTTTTTGTCCCTGTATCAAAATTACAGAGTTACCCAGGTACATTGTCTTCAAGCTGTTCTAAATGCCATTATTGACCCTTCAGTTTTCGCCTAATGTGATTTCTACTAACTGAAAATGTAGAAACTCTAATAGAGGGTAAATATAATAATAACGGGTTAAACAAAGATAACGATGCAAAATACTATGGCAACAGTATCCAGTCACATGATATTCGGATCAGTTAGTCAAGCTCTAATTACGGAAGTTTTATTGTTAAATGCAGATTATTCGCAGTTGGTAACTGAAAACGCCCTTGAGTACTGGAAATCTGCCAGGCTGCGCAGATGATAAATTAGAAGTCTCATACCGTGGAGAACGTAGACAGGCGGAGTGGATGATAAATGCTTCGGTTATGTAACATAATGTAATGCGTTATGAAAAATAGAAAGACTACTGTATGTTTCTGTACCCGAGCCTAGGACTAAATTTAATTCAATTCAATACGTTTAAATCAAATGCAGGAAAAATGCTGTACAAGGAAGTCATGTGGTATATACATCAGATTTGTTTTTAAATTTATTTATATTTACGCAATAAATGACAATTTTGTTTATTAATTTAATATTTCTTAATGGACAACTCGAATGGCTTTTTTATATTTTAGGTATGACTATTTCAACAATAAAATATTAGTTGTTTTGGAATTACTATAATGGCGATGTGGCTAGATAATCTCTGAGAAACGAAGATTTCAAAATGCTCTATTAATTGAGAGAGATGATGTAAATAATAAATTAATTAGTATCAAATAATGTGCCTTTTTGTTATTAAGAAGCTAATTCTCGTCAGCAATAATTTCACTCTTCTTTCTGATTCAGTGCTTTTGATAGCGAGACATTATCTAACATATACTGAAAAACAGGTGATTGTTGAACAAACTAATAAAATTATTAAATGATTCCTTTCAATAACTATTTTAATAGCATAGATAAGAATGTAATTTTTTAATGTATATACTCTGTCTCTCTCTCTCTCTATATATATATATTAAAAATACTGCATGTATATGTAAGATACAACAAAATATGATAGCTGCTTTAAACATAATTGGTGATCTCAAAATTAACATTCTAGATTTGGTTATCTCCCTCTAAATTCATCTGTTCTCCCAAATTTGAGATCCTTCTATATTATGTAACTCTACTAGTGAAGGGCAACTAAAACTAATATTAACCAATCATAGCTTGTTTCTAGAACTGCACTTACTTTGAAATAAATGCCTCTGACGAGCTAATTACCTCATTATTCTGCTAGCTTCTACATTGCTAATATCTCCTGGCTTCGCTTCTTTAAAAAATGTCTGCGTCATTTCCAATGTACGTAGAAATTTATCATATTTCATTATGATTGAATCATAGAAATATATCGAATTTCATTACGAATGGATAAATATCTGCTGAAATAGTTTTATGTGCGTGGAAATAAAGACTGGAAATTCTTCAAGTTCATGTTTTGTTATCCTCATCTGTAAGCTTTCAGCATAAGCCACAACAACAGCAAGCTGATTCCTCTTCTGTGCTTCAAAAATATTACATATATCTATAGAGAGAGAAAATAAATTTAAATAAATTAAAAATACGTTTAAAATCCATCATGTATTCAATGCGTATTCAAACCACATACAAAGAAACAAAAAGCAAGCACAATGACAAACTGCATGATAGGCGGGGGAAAAAATGTAAAAACAAAAATTAAAATTAAAACCGAAATTTACAGCTCTAGATCATTTTTCCCCTTTTAATTTAAATATCAATAAAAGGGGGGAAATGTATCGTTTCCATTTTTTAATTAAAGGAATACACAATAGAAATTTGCATGATAAAGTTTTCATTTTTTACAGTAAAGCTGCATTATCAATGTCTGCTATTTTATATTAGAGATAGTCATATCGATTACTGCTATGTATCTTCTCAGGATTCTAAAGTATAGTATAATGCACATGTATATATGTATGTTTAACTTTAAAGCAATAGTAAGTATATGTATGTTTTACTTCAAAGTAAAAGTAATGGTATGTATATGTATGTTTAACTTAAAAGTAATACATTCATATAAATATATATATATGTAAATAAAAAATATGTAAGTCAAAATTATAAATTAGAAATAGTCCTTAATTCCTCCTCTCTATTCTAAAGTCGAAAAACCATTATAACCTTTAAGCACTGCGTCATTTCTAGACCAATCCATCTTGCATGACTTGCGTAACGCTGATGACTGGCTAATTCGGAATCTGAACTCAAAATTTCGAGAACTGAAACCTTTCTAACCTAAGCCAAAACTTTCACTTGCTGAGCCTTCATACTGGCTAATTGCACCCTTTTGCTTCAGTTCTCTTTGCAGTCAAGATAATACTTCGCTCCCTTTGATTTATCGTGCTGCTAACTACGCCGGTATCTAAAATTTAGTACTCTGTATAAAACTGTGGAGTGCGTGTTGCGCCCGTGATCATGTGTGACGCAAAACCTTGTCCACAACAGTTCTTACTTAGCCTTTCTTTTCGAAACCATTGCTCCTACAGATGTACTTCCAGTAATAAAAGTGTTAAAATATGGCAGGTATTCGTATTTTGTCATTTCTAAATTTAAAAAAGAAAACGTGTATGTTGCAAAAATTACTAAATCTAAATTTTTATACTTTATTTATTCCGATCCTTATATTAAGGAAAATTTTATACTGATTATAAAAAGCCCAATATAAAATGGGGGACTTACATACACAAAAACTGACCGAGCTATTCAGTTTCTAAGTTGGAAATCAAATTCAGGGACCGCACACAAATTGAATAGCGAAAAGTTTTCATTTGTAGTTAACTCAGTATCAGCTTAGAAAAAGATTTCTGATGTTAACACATTAAGGGATGGGCATTTTCGTGTTAATAAGCATGAGAAGTAGTGATAAATATACATATATTTCTTGGTAAGCAAGAAATACTATTCTCGAAGTCCCGCAAAATCCTTATTCTAGGAAACACTAGCAGACTTAACAGTATTTTTATATTGCCTACTGTTAATCTTATTTGCATAAGTTAAAAATTTTTTAAAAATTTAGTTTAATGTCTTTTTGTACGACTTTTAGATTTTGTTTCTAAAGTAATAAAACTACATTAGAATATTAATAATGTATTTCTAACGTTTCAAAACTTATGAATTATTATGTGAAATTTTTTTCGACATAACCAATTCGAACAAAATTCTGAATTTAATATTGTTATACATTAGTAAATCACAAAAGAATATTACCGAAGTCGCTAAAGGGCAAAAGAAAAAACTAAAATTATTATAATTTATTTATCAACCGACCCCTTCAAACAAGTAAAAATGAGTTAAAAAATCTACAATTTTGAAATTAAATATCTCATGCGAACAGGAGTCAAACATTTTGTGTTTTAACCTTTTCCTAAATATAAGCATAAGGACCGGAAGAACGCATTAGAATGTTAAATTTAGTAATTTTTACAAATTCAATTTTTTAAATCTAGAAATGCCCAAATTACTAATTTTTTAATTTCTAAATATTTAATTTTTACTGATTTTTAAAATCCTTTACTAATTTTTCAATCTAGAAAGGACAAAACGTGAATATTTGCACCATTTGAAAGATTTTTGTGAATTGAATTGTATGCCTACGACCAACGTTTGCGGAATCAAAGGCGCGGTAAAGACGTTTATGGACGCAGTGTACATGATAGCAGGTTTTTTTTTTTTTTTTTAGAAAATTTTGTATTATTCGTAACTTTTAATAATTTCATTGTCTTCTTTTCACAGCTTCCGAACAGAAGTTATGGCGATCGTTCACCTGGAAGGACGTCCAAGACTTCTAGCCAGTATTTGTCTCCTTATTCTGCTCCTTGGGAACAAAATAATTTACCACCGACTAAATATTCCGCACTTTACGATCGGCAAGAAAAATATAAAAGAGATCATTCCTCGGAAAGGTCATCCAGATTTTCTAATTACAAATTAGAATATGAAGCAAGTAATCGTCCACACTCCTCTCTTGGATGGCAACATCAAGATATTCAAAGATCCCACAGTCCAAGCTATGGCTTCTCGGATTTGGGCCATTCACACGAAAGGGCAAGGAGTCCTGGTTACAGGTCTACAATGGATTATATTCCCAAAAGTAAACAAAAGTTACACAGTCCCGACTACAGACTGAAGTATGTGACATCTAGAAACACAGTCTGGACTGATCTGTCCATGAGGTATCCAAAGACTTCCAGGTACAGCGGGAATATTCAACGTGATTACAATGCAGGACTTTACTCTTCGAGTAAGTTTTCTCAAGTTTCGTAATAATAAGTGTTTATTCAGATGCAGTATATAGCCATTTATTGTAAAACTGATTGCTGATACTTATTGAGAAGTTTCTAGTGAAACAATGATTCCCTTTACGCATTTTAAGGTTGGTTCTGCATCATTCAGGTGCTGACAGTTGCGTCTTAAAGCATGTCCGCTGGTCACTACCTCAAGGGGGCCCACGAGTATAGGGGTGCAACGGATTTCTTCTTTATAAAATTTGTATTTACTCGTAGAATCGGTGCTTTGAAATTATAGCTCAACTCGAAATCCTCAACATTGAAACTCCTTACAAACAGATGTTTCTTCTGTCGGGCTAAATAACAAGGAGACTTCCACCGGCCATTGTGTAATACCATTCAGGGATAATTCAATGTTTAACCAAACCAGAAAAATGCTTTCAGAAGGTCACCTGTCAATCTAATAATCTAGCTTTGCGACCCAAAAAGATAATACATTTGCTCAAAATTCTTGATCTCAAGCTTTTAATTGCCAACAGTAAAACTTTTACTTTTCTATGAACTCTAACAGGTTGTTAACCTTCAGAAGATTAAAAATTTAATTGAATAATAATAATAAATAATAATAATATTGTCATCAACGGGATGGTGGTTAGGGACACTGACTGTCTCGAATCCTGGAGATGACATGGATGTTTGTAAATTATGTAAATTATGGATGTACATTTTTCCGGTACGAAGGTACCCCAAATATATGGCGAGCTGAAAGTCCTCTCTTGTGGCTTGGTGATAGTAGAGAGGAACAGGACGACCTTTTGGGGTGCCCTTCTTCAAAATTGGGTTGACAGTAGAAGTCCAACCTCTTTGAGGCTTTGGCAATCATTCTTCCATGAAATATGGTCGACAACAAACAAACAATAAAAATAAGCAAAGGTCGTAATAAATAGCATACATTTTAATATGACTGTAAGCTCCTTTTTTAACTCCATTAATTTCTTTAACCTTTCCTTTCCAATTTTTCATAGCTGTGGGTTCCAAACACCAGATCTACCTTTCGTTTTTTCATTTCTTTGTATTCGAGGTTGCAGTTTGGCTTCTTCTCCCACCTCAAAGCTATCTGTAGTACTCCTTATATGTGATTATTTTAGAAGAGGCACTTTAGGATTATTTTCCCACAACCAATTTATTTCGTCACCATGGTAACAACAGCCGAGGCAGATAGTCGAGTTCCTTAATGTTTTGCCCTATTTGACATATTTCACTTGGTTAAAAGCGCGAGAATGAAGGGTGACGTGACTCAAGTTTCGATCGCAGATAGAGAGTATAAAGGCTTTGAAATCTCGATTTTAAAGTAACAGATTATAAAACAGCATTTCGATATCCTGAGCTTCCGAGTTACCAGAAAGGATTATGATTCAGTACAATTTCATTTAGAATGCCTCTTAGGAGTGTATATATATATGTGTGTTTTGTTCTGAAGTTCTTTTGGGATGCCTTTATTCATTTACCTTAAAAGGTTTCATTTATGAACCCTACAAAGTAAAAATAAAATTTCTCCATATTTTCATGAAAAGAAATTACAGAAAGAAGCAGTAGATATGTTTAAGTAGATCTAGAAATTGGCAACAAACTCCAGCGACACTGAAGACAAAGATAGTTCAGAGGAGACAAAATCTTTTTGTTTAGTTTGTATAAAGTTAGGAATGTAAAACTTGGAGACATAAAACGTATTTATTAGTTTTAGTTTTAAGTATTTATGCTAAATAATTTCTAAAACATTCTTTTGATTACAGATGATTACACTTCTGTTCCGGACAAGAGCGGATGGCGAGCAAAGCTTGCCCAACAAGGTTACGTTGCCAGCACAACAAAGAAAAACCGTACATCTATACCAGAAAGGAAGTGGCATTACCTCGATGATAGTGAAAATGAAGACGAAAACACAGAAGAGTTCGTTTACCGCACGAGCCAAGGAACTTGCGCTGAAGATGACGAAGAAATAAACAGCGTTATATCACGAACACGAAGAATGAAATTACAGATGCAGTCGGGAGAGATAGCCACTCAGGAGTTTTCTGTTCAGGTTAGTAATTCTAAAAATTAATATAACTCTTCTGAAATAACGAGTGTAAATGTTTACTCCTTTTCTTCATGCACTAACTTGGAAAACAAAGTATGTTTTTATTCATTGACTTTATTTCGAAACTTTTTACAATGTAACAAAAAGAGCATGTCGAAGAATAAAATATTGTTGCATTCTACGCTTTCGCGGATTTGGAGTGATTGATGACAAGCCTTGATGAAGAATCAAATCACAATTTATTCCTTAGTATTACACATGGCAGTTCCAAAGATGCGTTACAGTCGACGAAAATCTGCTACAAACACGCTGAAGCAATCAGCAATACAGCCCTCAAGTTATCAGGCTATAATGGTGAAGACAGCTTCCCGCAAAACACTTAAATACAGCTCTCGACTCGGTGCTCTCGAGATAATCTCTGAACTCAAAACATTACTACTGAACTCAACACACTCAAGCTACTCTTCACGATAAACTGCTATTCCGCGTACGCGCAGGGCTTATATAGCTTTTGGCGTACCTTTAAGAACATTTTGGGGAAAATCGGCAAGAATTCGTTCTAGAAGGTTCATGCTCCGTTTATTGCATATCGCCAATTTCGTCGCCAAATATCGCCAAATGAGAGATTTAGCGCCAATTCTGGCAACTCTGTCTTTCCTTGCCATACTCTAGCAACTGCAAACCGACTTTGAGGGGAAGCTATCTTACTGCAGCTTTTCGCAACAATATTAAATTGACAAATAATAAGCAACAGTAATTCGCAAAATCTGAACAAATTTATATAGTTTCAAAGGTTAAATAGAAGAGTGGTCTCAAATTGGCTGCCCGCAAATGCGTTTCAGTTATGTATTTATTGAAAACTCAGTGTTGCATAGATTTCAAGATTTTAACTGTTTGAAGTCTGAATTTACATTATTTTTATTACTATTAAGAACGAACATGAATAACGCACCAGAAAATTTATAAATGGAGCTAATTAATTTACAATGGGATATAAATCTTATTAAAAGTTTTGAAGATACAGATTTCATTAGTTTATTATTTGCGCTTGTCAAAAAATAAATAAACTCATTTACGAATTTTTGCGCTAAGAATAATCGTTTTGCTTGGGAATACATTTATATGTGAACAGCTGTTTTTCGCAGTAGAAAATTAATAAGAAATGACCGGAACTGATGAGCATGCACAATCCGTAGCAAAAAATGTTTTAGTAATTTTTCCTGAGTGCATGGGTATTAAGAAAATAAACTTTGTATATACATCCAAAATTTATTATTCTTCACACCCAAACATACGCATTTTAATTTATGTGTCGAAGAAAAGTTTAATAACTAAGAAAAATATGCTAAGTTTCGCCCTACTTGCAAAGCTTTCTCAGAAAACTCAGAAACTTTTCATAATTTGATTATTTTTTGGGTAATTTAAAGTAAGCTATTTAGTGATTAATTAAATATATTAGCATTATTTGAAATAAAAACCACTCTGAAGTATTAATATTTAGCTCTCTATATGTTTGAACTATAAAGCCAAAAATGTCGAGGTATGCCAAAAAATATCTTGCAGATACCAAACTTTAGATTTTAACTAGAAAAAAAAAAAAAAAGATTTTTTTCCTTTGTATTATTACTGTTATTATTGTTGTTGTTTATGCATGTTTTAATAGGTATTTAGTAAGTAGAATTTAAAATTTAGTTGAAATAATTTTTATTTCTTTGATAAAAAATTTCATTTCGTTAAAAAAGTTAAGCCCGTCAGCTGTTTTTAAATCGTGCATTCGGACAGCGAGCAGTTTGAACTTGAGGACCCTGAAATAGAACTTTCTTCTTTCTCTCTAAGAGTGAAAATGGCGAGAAAGAGATATCTGACTAGCTTAGAAACGAAAATGTTCGAGAATGTTCTAGCTAATTGGTTGGATGCAAATTGGATACAAACTGCTGACGCCATCTACAGAGAATGAATACGAAGCAACTAAGGATAATTTTTTGAAAAACTGATGTAAAAAGGAATTAGAACCATTACTGAAAAATTCTTCTGGATGTAAAGCCTCCAACTAATCTAATTCGCCAGTGGAGCAAACAAACGGAGCATATGATTTTTCGATTTTGTTTTTAATTGCTTTTCATGAAGCTTTTCGGGCAATAGATAGCATGAGTGGTTTCATTCTTTTATAGTTTGGCTAGAACATTCTCGAATTTCTCTTTGTTGTTTGTTCTCCATAGACCCATGTATGTGTTTTCCATCATTTTCATTCTTGCAGTTGAGTAAGAAAGTTCTATTTAATTTCCAAAATTATAGTGCTGAAAATTTGCACATAGTCATTGGAAAATTTATACCAATTCTTATTGTATATTATTTGCTACTTTAACGGCTCCGATAATGAGCAATGGTAAAATCTATTCTGGGTTGCTTTTAAAATGAGTAATTATAATATTTTTACTGTCTGCAGAGATATAAGAAATGCTTTAAAATTATTTTTACTTGTTGAGAAATATTGTGTTAGATAATTTAATCCTTGTTTAAAAGTGCTTAAAACCACTCAATAAATCCTAACACCTATTTATAAGAGTTCTGAATTTAAAATTTTAATATTTTGGAAAAAATAGTATGTACGCATTGCCAAAAAAAAGGGGGGGGATAGTTCTATATCTTTCATTCTACTGGGCCGATTGACAAAATTTAACTTTAGTTATTCCTGCTTTGGAAGCCACTTAGGATATGTATTAGATTTATATGTAGCATTGTGTATATATATATTGAATTTAGAAAATATTCTCTATTCGTATAAAGCTAATATAAATTTAAAATTTAATTAAGAAATTTTAATTGCAAAAATAAAAGATTGATTATTGGTGTGAACTAGTTTACAATATCATTTAAATTCTAAGAGCATATGTAAATTAAGTGCACGTATCTAAAACCATGAAAAAATATATAATATTACAAACAATTAATCTCAGAAAAATTTTTAAGACCAAATTAATTTGCATAAGACTTATCAAGGAGAAGTTGCCTTCAAACCTAACTCTTCAATTACTCAATTCGTGTTTTGTCATCCATATAGGCAAGGGTATAGTAAAATTCAAAACCAAAAGTAAAAACAAATGTTGTGAATTACTAAAAAAGAAATTTAAACTAGTAGGAATTTTGAGAAATTTAGCAAGTAAAATGACTAGGAATTAAAATATTAATTAAATGTCAATATAATTAAGAGTAGAAAACCAAAGTAATTTAGAAACTCTTGCCTATTGAAAACTTCCCCTACACGAATTATGCTTTTAAACCTAAAATAAACTATATACAAACAATCAAAATATAAAAATAATACTAAAAAGGCTAGTAAATAGCAAGTTTTAATTTAACTTACCTAGAACTACACATTTGAATTCCTGAGAGTGGATTAGCATTTGTTAAACTAAGTAAGACTGAGTAGTTTGTTACTGCTAACTGTATAAATAGAGGGCGCTAATACAATGTAAAGTTGAGTGTTAAGCTGCTACTTGTGAGAGCTATTGTAAAAACCTATGCTGTAAACTTATAAATACCTATACTGTAAACCTATGCTGTAAAGTAGTGTAAAATGTAAAATGCTTGTTTTGTGTGCAAATATGTTGCTAACTTTGAGGCACTGTAAAAATGAGTAAAAAATTGTAAAAACATTGTAAAAATTGTTAACTGCTACTGTTTGTAAAAATAGATGCTGCAAACTGCTAAGGATGTAAAAATTCGAAAAAATGTTTTTGAAAAAAAAAAAAAAAAAAATTGAAGTGAAATTAAAAGTTTGAATAAACATTTTAATTGAATTAATTTAGTTTAATTTTAAGTTGAAAATTATTTCACAAATTGAAATAATAGATAATTATTGTAAGAAATTCTTTTGTACTGGACTTGCATTATTTAAAACTGAAAGTTTACAAGTTTAATTAAAACTTTAACTAAATACTGGCCAAAGGTAAGGAAAATTAGAAAAAATAGATAAAAATCTTCACGCACTTCGGAATATAATTGAGGCTTTTGAAAAGAGTTGGCCCTTCATTAGTAAACGGAAAGAATAAAGTATTGATTAAATATACATTTTTACAAATAATTAATCAATAATGAAAATAATAAATAAATAAATAATAATTAATTATTTAAAAGTACAATCCCTTAACTCTTCCAAATCCTCCATTGCCCTCCTGTTAAGGTTTAAGGTAATATTATCATACCATAAAGAGTTAAAAAATTTAAAAGAAAAGTTAATGTCTGCCTTTTTAATACAGAAATTAATAAATTGTGTTGGGACCTGGTTATTAACTTGAACATTAATTGGTTTTATTATTTCTTCCTTTCAATATTTATATATATAAGTCGCGCTTTCGAGACATGAAAAACGCAAGTTAAATTTGTTAGTCGAGCCAGTAGAATAGAACTGTCCTTTTTATTTATTTATTTTTTTTTTCATGCAGAGTGTACAGGATTAATGTTAATTTGGGAAGGTGAGAGTTTATTTTTCTGCAAGACATTAAAATCATTGCTAAAATGTTTTGACAGATCTTGTCTCTATACAAATGTTCTGGGAAGCCGAAAGAATATTTATGTAGGATAGCAGCCAACGTACACATGTCATAGATAAAATGCACGAACTTTATTTAGGGATGGGCATAATGCTTTTAAACTGCATTCATTTTTTAGTTATAAAGCGAACAGAAAAAAAAACATTGCTTTCATGTGTACTCCTAATCATTTCTTTATAAGAAATTTATGTTATATCTTTAGATAATGTAATTACATCTCGGAAAAGATACAAATTCGTATAATCACTACAAACATTTAACATATAAAGTTGTTAAAAACACAACAGTATTTTGTTAGAAATTATTAGAAAAAGTTTTGTTTCGAATAAAATTAGTTTTGTCTAGCTAAAACTATTTTGACATCAAAATATTCATTCTATAATAATATCAGTTTGTTTTTCTCAGGTTGACACTGAAGAATTAGAAAAATATAAAGAACAGGAAGAACGAAGGCTCAAAAGAAGTTTCATTTCCTCAAGATATAATTCATGGTATGACAGCGGTGCGATGTCTTACAACAGGTACCTCTCTCCAGTGCCTTGGAGAAGCAGTGGGAGTTACTACAACAAATGGTCTAACAAGAGTCTTTCAAGCCCTACCACAGAGTCTAAAGAACTGGCATCTACACCAGAACTGAGTGAGACTGAAGCCAGCAATAAAGATTTTCGTAAATCAGTGCTAAACGTGGACTTACCTGAAAGTGAGGCTCAGATTTTTGCTAAAAGACAAGCCGAAACGAGGTGGCGGAAGGCTGTTGAAGATGTTTGTTATACATCAGAAGATGGTTCTCCTAGTGAAACTGGTTATGAAAGTCATTCTTCTTGTACAGATGCAGATAGGTCCAGTGGTGAAACAGAAAGCTTATTCACGGATTCATTGGATAGGTCATATGCCTATGGTGAAGAATTCCGTGGTTCGTCTTATAGAGATTCTAGTCGTAGTACTCCTTTCGGAGACACCCCTCTGGGGGAATATACCAGTTATGCAACAGAAATCGTAGATGGTGAAACAAATGCAAAATCGCCAGTAAATAATTTGATGAATTCAGAGCTATCGTGTTATGGATCATCAACTCAAGAATATCGTCCTCAAGACAATCAAGAAAATATTGATTGCAATATCCACGAGGAAAAAACATATCAAGCAGATGAAAAAAATTTAAGTGATTTATGTTTCCGATTTAGACCTCTGAGCCAAGAAGCATCACAGAGGGATTCTGGATTTTCTGAGCTGTGTAATCAAGCTGAATCGCCTTACGAGAACATTGCTCAACAACAGAGCCCTCTGTTGGATAACGAATGGATTAATAAAGAAACTGCCAACCTTTCAGAGGACATTCATGCTCCCAAATTAGTATGTGAATTCAACGACATCGATATGCTGCTTTTGGACGAAAATTTCAATCCGACAGTCTTTCAGACTTTTGAGGATTTTGATCGAATTATCGAACGTGAGAAAACGAACATCAGAACGAAAATGATAAGCAATGATGTGCCAAAGTGGGGCAAACCAGCGAAAACAGGGCTTCGTTTAGATTTAGATGCGTGCAATAAATTCATTGGTGCATGTCACGATATTGATGAAATGCTTGGGCAGCCAATACCAATGAGTCCTGATTCAGAAAGTACCACAGTTGAGGGGCTGGAAGACATTATTCCCACAGAAGACGAAGCAGATTGCATCAGCACCGCGGCTACAAGTATAATTAGTGGTACAGATATAGCGAATCTAAGCTGGGTGGCAGATTCCGACCAATTCTTGCATCGGAATGGACTGAAGAATTTGAATGAACTGTATCAAGGATTCAATCATTCGAAAAAGGTAAGGAATAATTTATAAATATTGGTCAAAATATAATAAAATTTTACTAAGCATTAAAGGAATGACTAAAATTATTGCAAATAATGCAGACATAAATCATATAGGAAAAATAATTTTATGTCCAAACTGTCTTAGCCAATAGCCTTTGTTGAACTAATTTCAGGCGTGAAAATGTTAATTCAGAATAGTGCCATGTCAGTAGTTTTACAAGAAATGAGGGAAGTTATAAGTATGCGTATCAAGTGGGAAAATTATGACAATTTGAACGAATTATTTAGGAGTTCCATTTAGGTTGTAGCTTTAAATTATGTAATTTGAACATTTCATGAGAGATTTAAAAATATGTCAAAATTTATATGCTAAAAAATCAACGTTTTGGGAGTATTTACGTCACATACAATATGCTCACATTTAAGGAAGTTTATACTTCTTTGTTTAAAAGTTATAATAAAGTAACTGAAAAATTATAATTAAATAGATCTGTTGGATCTTCAAGAACGCAATAGATCTAAGCGTCTAAAGATTTTAGCTGCTTTTGCATTAAAGATTAAATTTATGTAGATTTAGAAATAGCAAAAATTCTGTACCAAAAAATAGCTTAAAATAATATTTCTTCCCGTAAAAGTGTGGACAAGGCACTTAATTTATTTGAAAATAGTCTCTGACATTGAAATTATTTTGCTTTTTCTTTTCACAGTAGCGTTTTGCTTATTTTTTGCGCAACTTATTTGCTGCGACTCACTCACCTGTAGCTGAATCGTAATTCCAATTTCCAAACTTTTTTCCAGAATTCCAAAATCACCATGAAGAAATATAAGTTTACGTTAAAATTTTAAGAAACGTTTAACTACTTAACTAAGTGATAAAAGTAATTATTAATTGCGATAAACTGCTTAAATATGTATTTCAATTCAAATTTTAAAAAAATTGTTCGCAGAACAAAAAATATTTTAGGAACCGGTTCTGATGAACCAGTGCAAACCGAGTGAATATCCCCCAATGAACCCGAGCCTCTCTGCTAATATTCAGCTCTAGTGCTAATTAGTGAATATTTAGAAATTTAAGCATCTGTTTAAGGACAAGGAAGAAACAAAGAAATTGTTCTTAAGGAGAATGATAACAGAGCATTGTTTAGTTGGGCCAATGTCCTAAAGTCAAGGATAACTTGGCGGGAAAACCCGGAAATTTTTTAGCGGAAAAAAAGTGCTCAAGTCAACTGTATATAAAAATATCCTTATCTTTTTGAATATGCATTTCTTTCTGTTTTCTTACTTTTTTTATCTATAACTTTTAAGAATTTTGATGCTAGGGCTTTTTTTTATATTTTATTTACTTTTCTAAAAATAATATTTTCCCTTTCTTCAGAAAACAAGTTTAAGCTCCAAATAATCCAATAGATGGCAGCACTAGTTTACTTCTTTAATATGTCCCGTTAGATGAGGTGGTGAATGAAATGCTTTTTTCAAATGAGGTCCCGATCCTAAAAAGTCACTGAAAATTACTTTTTGAATTTAAGTTTATATATTAAATTATTATAACTATAAATATAGACTGCAGTGTAATCATGAAGTGTGTTAACGCACTTGCGAGTATGTTGTAGCATGTTGATAATTATAAAGATTGCATTAAAAATTAATTACCTATTACAAGATTAATGAAAAACTGATTAACCTCTCAGTTTTGAAAGCTAGTTTCAAACTAATTAACATTCTGAACTTTTTTCTGTTCTTATTAATTAGGTGAAACATGAATTAAATGAAAATAGTTACAAAATTGCCGGAGTTACTGCTATCTCGTTCTAAGTACAATTAAGTTGGAAAATGTAGATTTCATAAAGTTAGATAGTAGGGGAAAAAAGAAACCTCACTGTTATTTCATATAAATATTGATATTAGTTTTTCATTCTTATCCAGAATTTTGAATTACTCATACAAATAGAAGTACTTCTTAATCTTTTTCTGATGGTAATTCATTAAGCAAAATTCATTAAGTAATTCATTAAGCTTCATTAAGCACCATCCGCAGAAAAGGGCCTGTTTCTTACCCCAAATTATTACTTTTTTTTTTTTTTTTTTCAAATTATTATGTTATCATTGTGGTTTTTTTTTTTTTTTTTCTTTTTTTTCCAACCAGTAAATGTTGCTTTATCTGAACCTTAAAATTTGAAATTCAGCTCATTTGTTCGTAAAGTTTGTTTCCTTTCATACAATTTTTTTCGTTGTTTCATAATCAAAGACAGTGTTCGACACATTTGAAAAATTTTACATATTAATAATGTGAAATAATCAACGTGTATTTATTTATTTAAAATACAATAAACCAAAGACGACTACCCACTCTTCTAGAAGATTTCGGTCTTCTCTGGAGGTCTTCTTACAAGTGTGATGATTTACATTACTTATTTATATTTTCAGAAATGCTGTCCTTCAGAGGATGTGGTCTTTTGAGATATAACCGCCTAGAGCGAATTCACTATATTTCAAAAATGCAGTACGTAATGTGCGTATAAAATGTATTGAACTTCGTTGTGTTAGTCGAAATTTCTTATATAATGTATTTCAAAATCGAGATGTAAAGTGAAAAGCGGTAAAGTGAAAATTTCGGTGGCCTCTAGATATTCTAAGCCATAAAGCTGTTGATTTTACAGTTTTGAAGGCATTGTTAGGAAGTATTCTAAAAGAATAAGTTTCATTGGTTGAGGTAGGAAAACTTCTTTCTCTTAGTTTAGTTGCGTTTAAAGGGAAGAAACTGAAAGTCAACAATCCATGTCCTCTTTTCAAGTTTGTTTCGTTTTCGATTTTTTCGGTTTTCGAATTATGATTCCAAATCATACATATTTGAAAAAAAAATATTCGGAATGTAAAATTATTTTTAAAACTCTGGAAATTTAAGGAAGCCTGGGGCCTTAACTGCCATTGGGACAACCGGTGCAGTGTTTCAGTACTCCAATCTTAGCGAGTGAGGAGAGAAAAAATATATCGATTTTTTTTTCTTTATATTGGAGACTCTATTTTAAAAACTTGAAAAATTAAACTTACTTAACGATATTTATATTTTCACTTTTCAAGCTGAGAAATTACAATCGCGCTTTGTGATACTGAGAAGCGCAGCAGAATTATTTTTAAAGAAAGTTTGAGAAGTGCAAAGTGTTCCTTTTGGTAAAATAAATTTCATCGAGCTATCATCCGTTCTGTGTGCATTCAATCTATTAGTGACCAACAGTATGTACCCTGACCCACCCAAATGAGACAATTCTATAATCTCCCGTTCTGCTGGGCCGATTGACGAATTCAAACTGCGTTTTTCATGTCTCGAAAGCGCGACTTAGGATATATATTACATTTATATATAGCATAGGTATTCTGGCACAAAATCGCACTTTTTTGAAATGGCATGCCAATTTTTTTCCGTATTTCGATTCTAAGACTCAAATTATACGTGGTACGAAATTTACGGTGAGATTCAAAAATTTATTTTGGCACATTTTTTTCAGCTTGCGCCTAAAATAATTTACTTGTCGAACTTCTTAATTTATGGTAACCTATTTTCCTTTCCCTTTTTACATTGTGCATGAGCGGAGAAAAAGTGACTTGATTCCTACTTTCAAATAATTTTAACAAAGTGCCCAAAGCCACATTTGATGTTATTATCGTTTTCAGTAAATATACCAAATTTCAAAACGCGCCAATTTATAAATTCATGTACATCTTCGGAAATTTTGAACAAAAAACTAATTTTTTTGCAGGTATGCTTAGAAATACATCTACTTTAAGATGATGGTAAAAATGTTATAGATTTTAAATTCAAAAAATTTATAAAAAAAAAATATTTAAAAATAAAAATTTTAAAAATAAGTCATAAAAATGTGCGAATTATATTTGGATTAAGCCTAAATTTCGAATTCTGAAGAAGGAATCAAGTAAGTTTAATAAAAAAAAAAGAGATATAAATATATATTATATATTCAATCGCATTGAGAAGCTAAAATTTTGAGAGCTAATCTTTTAAAAACTGCTCTTGCGATTTTCACAAAAATTGACAGTTTGGCATAATTTGAGACGTAGAATCGAAATACGAAAAAAATTTGGCATGCCATTTCAGAAGAAAATACGATTTTGTGTCAAAATACCTATATCAGAACAAAGCTATGTATATAAATCTAACGCATATCCTAAGTCGCGCTTTCGCGACATAAAAAACAGAAGTTGAATTTCGTAAAACGGCCCAGTAGAACGGGAAATATAGCACTGTCCCGTTTTTTGCTCGCAGTGTACGTCATATTTTTTACTCATTTGTTTTTTTTTAATTAATGGTATATTATTTTTTTCTGTGCAAAGGATAGTTTATTTTATGCACTTTTATATAGTTATTTTTATAAAATTGTGAAATTTTGAAAATCTATGCTAACTAAAAGACTAACTATAAGACGTAATTGTAGTATCTTTTGTATAATGTCTAATGCAATAATCGTATCACCGTGCACTTAGTCAGCTGAGAAAGCTGGTTCTGTAGTTAAAACATCGAAACTAATCCTGCAAAATTTACAAATATACGCTGATTCTTGTTGTTTGACTTCTCCAATAATCATTATTCAGCGTGTTATTTTTACCGAAATTATATCATAGTAGTTTGATTCAATTTTTGACTTGTTTGAAAACAATTTATTAGTTATACTAGGTTTCCAAACAATGAATTAGTCATTTATTTTTGTGATTGTAATAATTTTTAAAACTGCCTTCGGGTATTATTTGCAAGCTCTATATAGGTTTGTCTATATAGGTTAGTTTATTGTGTATACACAATAATCTGAGTGTTTTTAATGAAACCTATTTATATTGTTTTCTAACATTTACAGAACTATAGAGCTTAAAGGTCTTATTTGTCATTTAAAGAAAAACTCTTTTTTCAAAAAATTTAAATCACATAACTTATATTTGTATCCATATTTTCCTGTTAGAAACATATAAAGCATTTCTCCCGCCTTCTTAGCATGCCTTCGT